TCGTATTATAATGAAAGTCACACTTAAGAGCTACCTTCTTTCTCCACTAATTGCTTTCCTCAAAAAATTTCATTTCCATTATCCTTCTATTTTTCTAGGCTTATTTATGCATCCTACAAGTTTATCTGAGGCAATATACCAATCGAATGCCATAAAGTTGATGAAATGAATACGTTTTGGAATCCCAATAAATCCCGGTCTAGTTTGACATACAGTTCCATTTGCATTTGGTAGGTCTTTTGGTGGGCTACTTTTGATTGAAATCTCTTAACTACTCCTTAACTTTTAATCAAAATTTGTTTCTTTCAAATTTCATCATTTTTTCGATTTCATTTCAAGTGAAAGAAAGAATTGAAGTGCATTTACCTTACAAATTAAATGCTTATTGCTTTGCAGTCATTTTGCTTACTTGCCTTTTTCATGAATCGGATTTTTTCTTGAATAGGAAAATTGAACCGATACAGTATCAGTTCGTTTCACTGTTTGTTTACCACATTTTTCAAGAGAAATTTAATCGAAGTGGATTGTGAGATTCTCCATTTTTGTCATATTTGCATGATTGCAATTTATGAAATGCACAAATTGGTTATATTTAGAACATCCAGTAGTTGATTTCTTGAATGTCGTAAGATCAGCGATATTTTGTAAGTCATTTTATTTCTTTTCTGATAGAAATTTATAGGAATAATAAGTGATATTTGTAGAGAAAGAATGGAATTACTAAGTCCACAGTTGAAATTTATTTAATTAAATGTGGTATGAGGGATAATGAAGGAAAAAGAAGCAGAAGTAACACTTATGTGGGAATATATCCAATTATGAGAGAGAGATAGAGAGAGACTGAAAAAAAGTTGGTTTGGTAGGAGAGGTAGATGAGAATTTGTGAAAGAGACTTTTCTATTTTACATAGATTAGCTGACATTCCATAAATAAAATCCATTGTTCCTCTGGAAACAGTCAACTCTTCAAAAAGATTTCGATGAAATATATTTTTATATTTGTCAAAATTCAACGGCAGTTTTTGCTTCCATATGTGAAATTGATAGAATTGTATTTGTTGGTAGAAAAAAAAAAAAAAGAACGAAAAATTTAGCTGAGAGTGGGATATGCAGAAAATCCGCTTTATTTAACACATCGTGGAATGAAATTACTTCATCCTTGAAATTTTCTGTTTGTTGAATTTGAAATATCATTATATATTGCTTCCTTTCATTCTGTCGCCAATAACCGTACTCCACGTAAGAAACCTCTCTGTTGATCTTATTTTTATGAGACAATCACAAAAGAAAACCCATTATTAGTTTTTTTTTTTGTTGTGAGCATTACTTTATGTCATCATTTAATGTGACACAAATATTTCAGTATGTTCTCATTTCTTTTCAAAATGGCCACCGAATTTCATGTGCTCCATAAAGACAAAATTATAGTGCCAACAAAGACCGCGGAAATTGCAATTTCAACTCTTGACACTGAGAAGGTTATCAAAAATATCAATAAAATCATGATTTTGATAAATTCTGATCAGAACAGTACTACAGTCCTTGACTTTAAATGATTGATAATTATTAATGTTAACAAATTTGGCGTTCTCAAGTATTTGCTAAACTTTTGCTCTTTTTCATCTTCAGATAACTTGCCCATCTATGTGCTTTCTGCCTTTTCTATATCGAATATTTAAATTACATTAAATTAATTACCAAATTTCTGGAGTATAACACAATAAACTTTTTCTTTAAGTTTTATTTTAAACTTGATTAAATTTTAGAAATTATGGATCTTAGCAATACTTACTACAATCAACAGTACTTGAAATCCAAAATTAACTGATATTCGCTGATAGCTTATTACTGAAACTTGAAAGTAACCTTAGAAAAATATTGCTTAGAGATGAAATAATAACCATACTATGTTGCATAGTTACATCATATTGAACTTGCTTCTGACTTGAATAAGTTCACTTTTCAGTACATTCTTTGGAACAGGTGGTAGTACTTCACTTCAGAATGTAGTTCTCGAGCTTCTTTGATGGGAAATAAGAATGAACTGTGAAAAATGATATGTGATAAAGGATTGATGTGTAATCGATATTGGGTTAACTTAAGATAATATGTATGTACTCTTGCACAGATTAAGTGATCATTTTAAGAGAGATCAGAAAAATAGATTAATACAATAACGTAGAATGGAAATGGAGAGTGTGATGATTTGCTTCAAATGACTTTAAGATTCATTCTGAAAAAGGAGTAAAGGAGTTTTTGAATGATTTTATTTGACTAAAAATGTAAAATGCATGTCAACTCTCTTTAGCAAGTGAGTTAACATGCAAATGCGCAGGAGATTTTTTGGGAAATCGCATCGTTTCGTTATTTGCTCCGCGGGATTATTTTAATAGAGAGAATGATGAAACCGTCTAATGAATCAATGGTCTATGAAATTCTAATTCCTTGAAAGACACAAATTAACTTATACACTTCCAGCTTTCTTTGGATGTAATTATTCAAAATTAATGTAAAATTCTGTAAATTAATTGTTTTCAGAATCGAATTTTAGAAACAAGAAAAAGTTAGAGGTAGCTGTTTGAATGAGTGGCATGACAAGAAGGAACTGGCTCGATGATTTCGTTTTTCACTTCTTCTAATCTTCTAAATTAAATTCGCCCTGATAACGATTAATAAAGAGTCAGCTCTGGGGATGACGAAATTTCTCTTTGTTGATAATCCATATGAGACTGTGTGGGATTGATTTCAAGGAAATTGATCTTGGAATTCTCTGCAGTCATCATTGATTATATTTTCAATTTGATTTCAGTAGCGCTTTTAATCACGATCACTTTACCATGGTATCCAACTAATACTGGCATCAAAGCTGAATGATAACATATATCAATCTCATTCATACATCTCTTGCCAACCAACCTCTGATTTCAACATAATCATTCTTTCTTACTCTAAAGTACATCTCTTTATCTCATATATCATTTACTTCACAATACATACATAAAATTGTTATTCCTAACGAAGAAAATTTTCATTTTCATTTTACAAAAATTGTTTGTTTGCATGTAATTTCATTTTTATATTTGTAAATATATGTAAGCATTTCCCTCTTTTTTTCTTCTCATACATTTTTAAGTTTCATTTCATGATTTACCTGTCTATCCTTACTTTTCAGGTAGTCCCATCCTAAATTTACTGAAAGCAAATTGGAATCTTCGTGAATATGATTCTAACCATTTTCTCTCAGAACTTTGTCATCATTTTTCCTTTTCCTTTTTCTTCCGAATATATACCATTTGAACACTAAATAAATTATTTGGTCGTGAAATCTTTCAGATAGCAGTTTAATCTGATTCAAGCTAGCCTCTTTGAATATAAGAAAGAATAAAGAATGAAGAATGAAGAAATAATTCTAATCTTGTTTAATTTTCCATTGCATGAGGATTAATTCCATCTTTTCATTTCCACAGCATATCATCATTCATGTATTTTTTTTTCTGATCTTCCCTGACATCCTCGTACACTTATGTTATGTTGGATAGAATTTATGATGAAATGAAATGGAGAACAAAATTTTAAAAGATTTTATTAAACTTAAATCATCACAATTATTTTTATTCAGATGATTAAAGATCAAAATAATCAATCAATGCAAAATTTTGATACGCTAAATTTTTCATCCAATATTTGCCCATTACTTCATTCATTTCTTGCTTCCATTACCTGCTTACTTACTTATGATAACAACCTGGAGTTATCATCTGTTTTATCACTCACCATATTTCGTCACAAATCCAAAAATTAAAAATAAAAAAGCTTTTCAAATTTATTTTCTTTGAATTATATTTCGTATTTTTCGAGGTAACGAACGCAAACTTCACGACGAAGCACATTCCTAAACGTTGAATTAATATAAATTTCCACTTCAATTTTCTGAATTCAATCACTTTCCTCTCCGTCCTTTCGAACTTGATCAAAATAAATAACTGATTCAGTATCTGAATCAACAATCAATTCAAAAAATTTCCACAACTTATTTTCGATACAAAGCAAGTACTGACGAATGGTCGTCACATTTGGGGGAAATCTCAAATTTGTAGATTTTGCTTTTCCACATTGATCTAAATGAAAAGATGATTTTCCCTTTTTCTTTCTCCTCTTATTTAAAAATTTCCAACATTTCAGTTTTCTCAAAATTTTTTTAAATCCGTTCTTTATGCTCTTTCTGGTGACAGTTTTTTAAAGAGACAACCTGATAGAATATCTCATAAACTTAATTAAAAAATACATGGGCAGATATTACAGTAGAGCGGAAGATCATTCATGGGAAGCCACCTAAAGAGCCTATTTTATTTATTTTTGATTATTTTAAAATGGGAAATGCAGCAGAAAATTCCATTAAATCTTCCCTTCTTCTCCACCTCTCATTAATGTATTATTTCTAATTACTGCGTTGAAATGTCCAATTTCAGCACTTGAACTTAATTTTAGTAATTGAAGTTACTTCTTCATATCTTTTTTAAACTACCGTACACTGATAGCTTTCTCATTTACCAAGTTTCCTTTTTTCCTTCAGGCGATCCTGAATCATCATTGCACTGAAAATACATTCATACTTTAATTTCGAGTCCATTCAACCTTGATCGAATTTTGAAGTGTATTCATGAGAGATTAAATGAAATGAAATTCTGTCGTCCTTTTCAAGTCTCTTTCTATTCTTCTCGTGATACTCTTATTTAATGCATATATTTCTTCTTTTCATTTATTCGGCGCAATTATCCTTTGAAAATTGTGCCATTGCCCAAAACAAGCATTTGAATTAATTCAAACAATTTGATGAATCTTTACATCAGTTATGAGCATTCCTTTCATTCTCTATATGTCCTGAAGGCGCATAATATTCAGAAAACAATTAGGCGTTTATGTGTTTCAATATGAATTCCTTTACAAGATTAAATTTTAAATTTTAGATAAATATTCTTCTTTGTTTGATAAACATCAAGAATGCTGGAGCCGCTATCAAAGCCTCGCTTTAACATTTGTGATCCGGATAATGTGTCAGTATTCAGGAATAACGGATGCTGTAAGTGTAAATTGTTTAGTGCTAGATTTAAAATAACACCTATTTTTAATTATACAACTGTTGATTTGTTTACTAAATTATCGATTGATGGGTTGAAGCTTTGCATATAATTTTTTTTTACAGCAGAAGATGATCGACAGCATTGGGTTTCAACAAAAGGCGCGTTTCATCAGAGTTTTGATGAACGAAATCAGAATAATGTGGAAGAGTTCAGCAATTCATGTGTCGATCTAAATAATCCGGTAAATTTATTATGTTTTTTGATCTTATCTCTTTCTCAGAGTACTCAGAGGAGGAAGAAAACTGAATTTTCTATTTGTTTGTCAAAAATAATTTAGCCTTTGAGAGAGGATATTCTTTAATCTATATACATCCCCTAAATAGATGTCTTACTTTCAGCTTCTTCGGCTAATTTATTCCTTTATTTGATTATTTGGTTGTTTAATTAAAAATCAATAAATTCTTGTTTTCACTTCACTTTCATTACTCCGTTATGTTCCTTTTTTTAAATTAACCCTTTCTTAGTTAAAAAATTGATAAAAAATTAATATTAATGTAAAAAATTTGTCTAAACAAGTCCAAATTTTCACATTTCTTTATTCAACAAGGTTGTAATCAGAATTTAATTAACTTTCATCCACCTTCAATTCGTGAAAACTTTTATATTAGCATTGATGCTTGCATCATTTAAACAAATTTCATTTGTGCGAGGGAAATGTGCCAAATTGAATGCATGGATGATAATGTAAAGTTTTTCTGTTTTTTTTTCCTTTTGGAGAGGTTAAAGATAATTCTCCGAAGGTGATCAACAAAAAAAAGCTATTTGTCTTTATGACGACGATAGACGACAAATTCCTGACGAATTCCTTTCCTTTGACTGTTTCTTAAACAATTATCACTTGACTGATTTCTAGATTGCAGTGCACACATTATGTTTGCCAGATGACATTTGCTTACTTCCGTATCATTCTTTGCTTGTTTATAGATCCGTTCACTGAACTTTACCAACTTATTACATAACTATTTTAAGAGAAGACGCCGCCAATAATCGCTCCTCTAACAATATTCGCCCTTTTTTCTGAAATATTCTAATAGCATTGTGAATCTAGTAGACCTGTTTCATCTTGAAATCCGGTGATTGAGTCGATCATCATTAGAAAAGGTCATAGATCATCGGGACGAAAACAATAATTCCATTTTTCTATTGATTCAAAGCTATCTGTTTATCTGCAACTGCATGAAACAACCTTTCCAAACAACATTTTTAACTCCTGAAATTTGAAATGGAAAGTTGTCTGAATTATTCGAATTTTTTTAACTTTACATCTTAGTATCCATCGCAAGTCCTATCTAGCGATTCTTCTGCATTGACAATTCTTTAACCTTATTTAAAAAGAGATTTATTAATGATTAGGTTATTTATAATTTCTCTAATATTCGAAATTTGAATAATTCCTTTATTGCAAAGAGAAATTTCATTGGTTTTTCTTCCTTTAAAAACTAAAATTAAATCAAAACTTTCAAGTTTTTAAAATTCTTTTAAAGGCTTTCATGCTTCTAACAACTTCACTATCCATCAGATCAACTCAATCTTTATTCAGTTATTTGTAGAACAATATCAGATGAAATTTCTTCATTTTTCTCCTGCCTTCTCAACAAATGCCACATTAATATTGTTGCTATGCGGAATGTTTTGCTATACACCTTCAGCACAGTGCCTAAGGCATTACAATAAAGAATGAAATGATAACCTTTTATCATTCGATATGATGCCTTAAGTCGTTTTTGTACTATCATTCAGCAGCATTATCATTAGTACATTGTACTTTATCATTATCATTGGCACATTAGCATTATCATTCGATTCGATATCAAGTCACATTTTTAAGCCTTAAGCCACATTTGTACGAAGACTTCAAAAGAATTAGTTAAAATTTCGGTCAGTCAAAAGTTTCCTTGTTCGGTAGATATGTTATAAGAATTCCCAAGAGTATCACTTTTTCGTACTTTCAACTTCATCTATTGTTGCATTTTAGAAAATGTATTAGAGAGACAACGACTGCAAAATTTTCAGCACTCAAATTTTGTTTTTTTTTCTTTCAAAGTAGAGACGAAAAAAAGTGATTGTAACATAGGTAAAAAATTCTTGTCTAAAAAAGTATTTTATTTGTCATCTGAAAAAAATTTTCTTACTACTGCCTGTTAATTAGTTTCAGGAAAGAGAATAACAAAAAGAAAAAAAAACCATCTTCTTATTTGATTGAAATTAAACAAACAGTAAGGAAGAGCCGAAATACAATAAAACTTGAAAAGTAGGGTATTTGGTGGATGGGATGTGTCATTAACGTATTCATCAAGATCGGAATATGATCAGATCATAGCAATCTTTTTATTTATTAATTTTTTATTTGAAGTTTCTAGATTGCATGCGAAGTTTTATGAAGAATTGATTTGTTTTTCGCCAATTCTTGCAGAGAGGGTTTTCAATGAAACGACGTCCGGCATTTTCCAGCGGTGTGGCTCGAAATTATGC